ATCAATGTATTTGACATGTATATTTAAAATCTTCTACTAACACTGATGAAATTAAGGCTGTTGTGTTCATTTCAAATAAAAATAAGGTATCACTCAGCTTTCTACCTCAGATTTCCCACTTTCAGGTCTACAAAACAAAAATATGTATCTGTCATTCTCTTCATTCTCACTGCTACCTTATTACCAGACTCTCGCCTCAATCTTAGACTGTTATCATAGTTTCTGAATTGGATTTCCTGTCCAGAGTTTTCTCCTATCCTATCCTATATTAATATGTAAAGTATTATCTTGTCAGATTAACTCCCTTTCTTGACTTTTCATCCATGGTCCACATCCTATTTAATAGAAGATCTTGAACTCAGCATGTAATTCTTCCCTTTATCTTCTAGTAATTAATTCATTCTGGTTGTTTTTTGTCACAGTGTGTGTGTGTGTACACATATATATACATACATATATAATATATGGAATATATTATATAAGTTGTATATATTATATAGCACACTATAAGATTCCTAAGGTAGTGTGTATGTGTGTGTATATACACACACATAAATGGGAGGGGTCGGAAGGAGGAGACTTAGAGACACCTAAAATACTGAGTTCAAAGTAGACTAGTGAGACTTACCCAGGACATTATGAGAAGAGCAAACATGGGCTAATTGGTAGAGGAAACATGTATAGTCCATTTGGAGTAACCGATGGAACAGTCCTACATAATTGAAGAATATCAAAACTTTTCCTCATTACTCTTTTGCCCCATTTTTTATATTATTTCTCTAACTTCACTGTCACTTTCCTCAGTTGTCATAGTATGTTTATATGGCTGATAATCTCTTCTCATACTCTTGTCCCTTAAAACTTCTATTCGTTTCATAAATTTTGGAGTCATACTTCAGCCTTTAAACTCAGCATAGCCCACTGTATTGACCAAAACCCATGCCCTTATTTTTCAGATGAATTTCATTATGACATTTTTGTACATGTATAGAATGCACTTATAATCTTATTCACCATGTCTGTTACTCTGTTTTCCTCCTCCTCTTCATATGCCTACTTTTTTCTTCTTTTTTTAAGATCGAGTTTCTGCCATATTTGTCTTTCTGAGGATGGCCTGTTTTCACTTAACATAATGATCTCCGTTCCATTTTCTTGAAAATTACATAATTTCATTATTTGTGGCTGAATTAAACTATATAATGTATATATCATATTTTCTTTATCCATTGATCTTTTCTTATTAGTATATATTAGTTGTACAAAGGGGTTTCATTTTGATATTTCCACAGATGGGCACATTATACTTTCTACTATACTCTCATAGCCCCTTTCCTCCCCCCTTTTCAAACAGTATTTAGTGAATTTCATTATGCTATCTTCATTTATATATACATATATATATGCATAAATATTTACATGTATAATGTATTATGAGCATGTTCACCCCCAGTATCCTCATCTTTTCCTCTTACCTCCTCCTGCTTGTTCCTCTGCTTCAGATTGTTACACTTTTATGTTCATGTTCCATTATCATTATCATCATCATCATCATTTTAAGTCTACAGTGTGTATATGGAAGAAAACATGCAATATTTGGCTTTCATGAGCTATCTTACTCAACACGATGATCTCCAGTTCCATCCATTTTCCTGCAAATGACATAATTTCATTCTTGTTTATGACAGAATAATACTCCATTTGTACATACACACCACATTTTCTTTATCTATTCACCAATTATTGGTCCCGTAGGCTAATTCCATAGCTTGGCTATTGTTAATAGTGCTGTGATAAACATGGATATGCAGGTATTTCTCTTGTATATTGACTAACACTCCTTTGGGTATATGCCATGGGGTGATACAGCAGAGTCATAAGGTAATTCTGGGTTTTTTTGATGAACCTGCAAGTTGATTTCATAGTGGTTGTACTAATTTACATTCCCATTAACAGTATATAAGGATCCTCCCCTTTACCCTCTTGCATCCTGGCTAGTATTTGCTTTTATTTGCTTTCTTGATGATAGCCATTCTGACTAGGGTGAGATGGAATCTCAGTATCATGTTGATTTGCACTTTATTTATGGCTAGTGCTATTCACTATTTCTTACATGTATTTATTGGCCATTTGTACTTCTGAGAACTGTTCAATTTATTTACCTATTAACTGAATTATTTGTTCTTTTGCTGTTTACTTTTTTAAGCTCTTTGTATATTCTGGCAATGATTTTCTCAAATTTTGTAGGCTATTTCTTATTCTGGTAATTGTGAATACCAGCATCTTTTGAACATTCATATTCTTCCCTCAAAACCTTACTGCCATTGTCTTCCCTGACTCCTACATATCAGTATCTAATTCCAACCTATTGTTTCACTCTCAATCATACTTTCATGAAAATCGGAATTCACTTCAGTTTTTTAAAACAAATATGATAAACACAGGGTTTTCTGTATGCTTCTCAGAATTTGTTACTTGATAAAGGAAATAAATGTTATGGTTAGCCCTAAGGACAAAGAAGAATCAAAATTCTGGTGGTCTAAGTCCTTCTAGAAAGTCAGTATATCTATCTCTGGGGGATCTGGTTTGACCCATGTATCCTTTTACTCCTTTCTTGTCCCAAATCATTTTACAGATGAGGCCAGGTGTATAGCTCAGTGGAAAGTCATAGTTTTAATCTCCAGCACCTAAATAAATAAACAAGATGAAAACAAAAACTGGCAAAAAGAAGAGGACCATTTCCTAACAATCTGACTACCTAGGAAATCAACTAGAAATCTGAAACCACAATAGTAGCAACTTCAGTAATATAAGCAGATCTCTAAGAAAAAGAAGTGCTTAGGTCTTCTAAGCCTTACCCACTTTAGAATTTCTGCTTCACAAACCAGAGCATAAACTTCTCCCTGAGTGCTGCTCAGCTATTTTATTTTTGATCATTTTTATCTTTCCTTTATGCCTTGAAGCCACAAGTTACAGCTCATTTTTTTTATTTATTAGACTGAAATCTTTCCTCTCATTTTTTGCCTTCAAAGAAAGTGTAGGCATTTGAACAAATTACAGTTTTGAGCAAATTCTTCTTAGAAATAATTTATAGTCACATGAATCTTTTCAGTTCTTTTTTTTTTAATCTATTTTTCCCTTTAAAAATAAGAGCACTTATTGATTCCCTTTTAAGAGATGTGAGACCAAAATTCTTTAGTTATTCAGTTTAACATTTTCGGAACATAATTTGTTAACTCATTATATTTATATTTCTCATTCTAAAATGTATCTTTTTTCCCACTTACATCATTTTTTTTGGTTTATTTTAAAGTATAGTGATAAACTACATTTAACATCTCATCTGCTATAGCTCTAGTTTTATGATATAAAAAGTTTACAATAGAATAAATTTTATTACAGTTGTATGAACTACTTTAATATCTATTTTAATATTTATTTTCTATAATTTCTTAATATTAGATTTTATTAATTCTAGGAAAGATCTCACAATTTGGGAAAATAATAAAGTTAAAGCTATTAATTCTCAATTTGTTTAGAAAAAATTAGATTTCATGTTGATATAATTGGTATTGAATGTTCTATGTATAAAGTGTTTTCTGCTTTAAAGAAACTAGGAACTTCTTAGAAAATAAAAAGACTGCCATGGATATTAAATTATCATTTATCATTTTCTTTGGGATGGGGCAGTATGTAAAGTTTCAAGGCATTATCCATTTCAATAGCCAAAGTAAACTATTAGAACATTAACTGTTTTTTTGTTGTTTGTTCATTAGTTTTGTTTTTTGCTGGGACTGGGATTTCAACTCAGTACTTTTCCCTTGCAAAGCAGGTGCTCTACCACTTCTGCCACACCTCTAGTCAATTTGGCTCTGGTTATTTCGATGGGGTATTGCAAACTATTGGCCTGGGCTGGCCTTGAACTGTGATCCTCCTGATCTCAGCCTCCCAAGTAGCTAGTATTCCATGCATGAGCCACCTCATTCCAGACACCTGACCATTAACTATGTTTTAAACTTAGGGCCTGGAGCTCGCTAGGCAGGCACTCTACCACCTGACCCATGCCCCCAGCTCTAAAACATTGCATGTTTTCCTAACTGCTTGAACTGAATCCTTAATAAGACTGCTAAAATAAAAATAACAAAATTTATTTTCTCAAGTTGCATAATGTGATTTTAATTGGTTATTATGTTTAATATTATCCAATAACAAAATATTGGGAGCTAAAAGATATCTTTAAATATGAGGTTATTAAGTGTATGTCACATTTATTATTGGTACCTGCTGCTTCAGTAAGTACCCATTGCTCATGGTATGCTGAGATTACAAGGAATAAACCTATTTCTGTAGCTGCCCCTTTTCTTTGTTGGCTATGGATTATTTTTCCTTCTACATTCCATTTCTGCTGTCATCTCTATGATCTCTGCCTCATCACCACATCCTAACATTTAATATAGGGGCCATAGGTATATCTGAATGACCCTTCCTTTCCAAATTTTAATTAAGAAGAGGATATATAGATTTAGTAGCTTTTAAACATTAAGGAAGAATTTTTGTATATTTGCATTAAAATACTAATGCATATTAATCTCAAACTCGTATGATCTTTTTGTTGTGACAGAATAGAACAAATGTTAAATGCTCTTTAAGTGGGAGACTAGAGAATGATTACTATCCCACATCGTGAACTAGGAAAGTAAAGAATATTGTCTCATAACTAGAAAAATCCACCAGGGTTCCTGCTCCTTTGGTCTCCATATTGATTGTAATTACATAATGTTCAAAAAGTTTACTTTTGTGATTGGGCTATTATTAATGTGCATATTTTTATTTGGTTCTGTGGGGGTTCGGGGAAGCTGGGGGGGGAAACACATTTAGTGATAGATATTCATTAGCCACCATTGAAGAAGAAATTGAACTTTAAAGAATCTATCAAAAATTCTCTGGTCAGCCTTTTATTACTGTCTTGTCTTGAGCCCTTTTTTAATGACATCTATTATCAGATTGAAATGGCGATTGAGACGCTGCAAAAGTCTGACGGTCTGTCCACTCACAGAAGCTCTCTTCTCAACAGCCATGTAAGTTGCCTCTTCTTCATGTAAACTAATCTCTTGCTTGTTCTGCATGTGTTGCTTGCCTCTAAATGCTTGTTTTATTTATTCACTTATTTATTTTGCTTCTTAACCTTCCTTTCTCAGCCCCTTATCTTTTCTGAATCATTTAATGGCTGTTTTGTGTCTCAAAATAGAGCCTCCAATGTACTGCTTTACTAGGTTTTTATACAGTTTGGGTGTAAATACAACATTTTCAAATTAATGACAAGCTGTAGTTTATTTATAGAAAGTAATTAATGGTGATTTTAAATATCTAAATTTTCTAGTTTGATATTTATTTACTATGAAGCAAAATTTGTAATCTACTCCTATATGTCTAATACATAGAAACAGCTATGTGTGCTGTGTAACTAGCAATATTATTTAAATGATTGATTATTAATGTTCTTGTGATTAACTATTTGAAAATAATTTATTAGTAAGACTATATAAGGTAGACAGGAAGCAATTGCATTGATTAACTCAGATCCTAAAAACCAAAGAAAAAGAAGAATGATCCAAAAGAAAGTGTGAGGCTGTTAGATAAGCCCCAAGTTTCTGATTACTGGGTGGAACAAAATTCCCATCACTGTTTCTTAAAGCTTTCACCGTTACCAGATGCAGACTCACTCTGACACTGGTAAGTATAAGAAGGATGAGGACAGTTTTCTGGAATTATAAACATTTCCATCAGCTGTGAAAATGCAGATTAAAAGTTATTTTGTAATGATGGTTTTTGAATGTATGGAAAAAAGTGAATGGGTCTGTGACTTAAAACTATTTTAGATAGCTCTACTAAATTAATATCAGTGACATTTTCATAAGAATTAGGGTTTTCCTTCCCAACTGACAGTCTATTCATAAACTTAGTGATAACATTATTAATTTCTTAATTCTTCTTATTTTGTGACTGAGAAGTTTAAAATCAGAACCACCCAAATGACGTACCATTCTTCCAGTAAAGCTAAAACCTTTCCATTGTAGAAAGTGACTTTGCTATGCCTTTTAAATATTTGAACTTTATAATATTTAAGTTTTATATTGCAAAAATAACAGTAACTATCTCCTTATGTTATAACACATTTGTGTTTAGTTAGGGCATTTTGTTTCTTTTTCAAGGGAAAGTTTCCTGGCAAATAAAAACATGTTAGCAAGTTGGAGAATGCCTATCATTTTGATAAAAATTATGCATATGTATTTTAAAATAATGGCATGTGTTTTGGCCCTTTTTGGTGAAACAGTTTTAAAACATTTGGTTTTATTTTCAGATGTTTGTATCACTATGTCACTCTTTTACAACTACACAAGTATGTCCCTATTATGTTGGCATGAGTCTTTGGTTAAGTTAAAGGCTAATTGATAGTACACTATTACACTTTGTGTATGTGGGGAGAAGATGATGACCAACTGGTGTTTGTGTTTTGAAAATGGCAGTCAGAAATGTACAGGAGTGTAAGAAAACAAAATGAAATATCTAGTTACCCTTTTGCAGCTTTGAGCCTCCTGAGCTGTGCTTTAATAATCAATTTACAGTTCACATTTATTTGAATAACATATAGTAAAGAAAGTTATCTTTCTTTTTAACTTTAATTACTCATCTTAATTAGTATTTTCATGAATAACATTCATGAATATTATTTGTTGATTTATTTGACTTTTCAAATATATTGAGTTTTGGTTTTTGGTGTTACTGTTTTTGAAGGTACTGGGCTTTGAACTCAGGGCCTCATGCTTGCTAGTCAGATGTTCTAACACTTGAGCCATGCCTTTTCAAAACCCTTTCAAACCTTTTAAACCTTTGCAAATCTTTTGAGGTTTTTAAAAATTATTTTTCTCTTGTAGAACTTGTTATCTAGTATTTAATGTTAATTATTGTGTGGACTAAACTGTTATAAACAACAGAGAACTATGTATTACTCCATGGCTTTGTGATTTTTTTATTAAGTAATATAGTAAATCTTTCCTGCTGTTAATGATTGCCAAAGGCATTTCAGATACAGAAAGAGTGGGTTTGTCAATGCAGTAATAATTTTCGTTGCTTCCCAGGTTCATTTTTATCATACATTTGAGTTACAGTAAAGTTGATTAAAATCTGCACCTGTGGTCAATTCTTTAGAAATACAAATGATTTTAATATTTATAAACAGTGTAGACAGGATTAGTGTTTCTGTTAACCAATGAGGTTAGTTTCTCCTTGAGGTTAGTTTCTGATCTTGTCCTTGGAAAGTTAATGGTGCCCCGTCTTTATTAGATTTATCCAGACAATTGGAATAAGCTACTCATGCCTTCCTTTTTTACCTACCTTCTACAGGTATTTTAAATTCTGTAAGCTTGTTTGGTGTTATTCTGTTGTGTCAGAATTTGTCAGTGGAAAATATTCTTTAAGTATTGTTAACATTTATTTATTTATTTATTTATTTATTTATCTGTGTATTTATTTATTTGTTTTGCAATACTAGGGACTGAACCCTGGGGTTAGTGCTTGCTACACAAGTACTGCTCTGCCACTTCAGTCATTCTCCCACCTCTTTTGTTTGTACTTTATTTTTGAGATAGGGTCTCACTAACTTTGCTTGACCTGGCCAAGAACTCATGATCACCTCTACCTCTGGAGTAACTGAGATTACAGGCATGTACCACCACACTTCTTGTTAGTATTTTAAATGTTGATAAACTATGTTACCTTTATCCCTCACTATGTGAGGTATTATAATACAGAATTATTTGAGGTTTGTAGGATTCCTTGCGGTGAACCTAAGTTCAACTTTGTGATGAGTATTTCCCTGATTTATCAGTTTCTATAAAAGATCAACTTTGTTAATAAAAAATTAGGATGAATTATCAATAATATGTGTTCCATATTTACTAGCTTCAAAGGAGGGATGTTAATCATGACTCTTTGAGCTAATAAGTCTTTTCTCACTGTATTTTGGGATACAGATAGAAATTATTTGCTATTTTTCTCTTTATGCATTTGATTATTCACAATAATTCAGAAAACTTTTATTAGTTGAAAATCTGATAAATAACCGTCTGTCAGTAGAATTTAGCTTTACTGCCTTGCTTTTCTCGTTTCTTTCGAGAATTGGATGATGGGGGTAGGGAATTAAATTTTGTATCATATATTCATCATATTCTGTTTTTGTAGTACTGGGGATTGAACCCAGGTCCTTGTACATGGCAGGTATACACTAAACCACTAAGCTACATCCCCATCCTAAGCATATTCTTAAGAGTATTTTATACTGCTAATATATTTTACTATCAATATGCTATTATCATCCATATTAAAATACATATATAGCTTCTATATTTCTTATATTATACAGTGTCTGACTTACTACTGAGTACAGTTATATTGCATGCAGTGCTTTATTCTACTGACAATATTAAAATGATGGCAATTATGTTAACACTAACTCTCATAGACAGTATTTATTAACAAGTGAAAGTTTTGAGACACTAAGACTTTTGATGTGTTTTTTCTACCAATATTCTAGTTCCTAGAACAATGCTGATACATAGTGTATGCTCACCAACTGTTTGCAAAATGAAGGCATATGAGAAACAATAGACGGGAACAGACCTTATTTTACCTTTGTTCTAGAATGTTTTTGCCAGTTATGTGTATGTTTATTTGGAGACTCACACGCACATTGTATTGGGTTTTTTGTTTTGTTTTGTTTTAATTATTCTTCAGTAGGTGCGTGTGAACATTGTTGGTAGAGGATATATCTTCTGGCACAATAGTCAAATGAAGAATATGCAATCATTGTATCTAATTTCCCTATGTGCACCCTATAGTTTAAGAGTAGGTAATTTTTTTTATTCTCCAAATAATCTAATTCTTTAAAACATTGTAGCCAAAGATGACATCATTCATCTCATGTTTTAGAATGGTTCTTTTAGTTTGGCTTTACAAAATTCTATTAGTGTAATAATTTTTATGTATTTATTTTTATTTCTAATTTTTGTATTCAAAATGCTATCAACAAAATGACATTTAGTCTGCCTAAATCAATATATCTCTCTTCATTGCAGACTTAAGCTTATTTTATACATTTCAGTTGTAATTAATATAAGTTGGCATTTAATAGTTATATTGTATCTAAATTTAGGTATTTAGATTATAAATTTGAAATCAAAAGTGTTCATATTGCTGGAACTTTTACATAATATTCTTAAGGCTGTATATTTTTTGAATTCCATTTCAAGTACATTAAAGGCTCTCAGAATTTATTTTACACATTTTTCACAATCTAGCAGATAATTGTTTTGTGATTTTTTTCCCAAGTTTTGGCTACTGAGATATATTCAGTTCAAAGATAAATCTTGTTTTTTACTCCCTTGACTTTGTTATAGAATGAATAGACGTTATTAAGGAAATAGGTCTGTCAAAATGCATATCATCAGTGCATGAACTTAAAGTGAATCCTAATAGATAATAATCCACCTGGAAAAAATGCCAAATGTTGCATTTTGATGTTAAATGGGCAATGTAATAGTTACTCATTTTTATTGTCAATCAGTATTTCCCTTTAGGAAAAAATAGAAACTATCATCTTTAATCTATCCTGATTAATATAGATTAAATGCAAAGGTTGAAAGTTGTAATTATCTTGGTTTCTACCCTAGTTCATCAGTAGAATAATCAGGTTTTAAAGATAAAGGTTAAAACTTTCTATGGTATTTCATGGGCTTTAAAATCATAAATATAAGCATTTTAGAAGACATTTTTATGAGTAAGAGAAAGAGTTTAGTTCTAAATTACTAAATGTTAAGAGTGTTAAATTCTAATGTCCAAACACATTTTGTTAAAGACAAATCCACAGTGAACAATGTATTTGATAACATATTAACTTCCCTTGGGCAGTATATGGAGCATAATAAAAGTAATTCTTTCTAATAGTATGTTTTGGACTCAATGTCTGATTTTTAATTTCATCACTGCGTCAAAACCTGAAAGTAAACAACTACATATAAAATGCAGATTATAATCTCCGAGTAAGACTGTTTCTCCAAGTCTTACTTGGCAGATTCTAAATCATTTACTGCTTATACGACAAGTTTCTAGGAAACACACCCTAGGTAGTATAGTGGATGACAGATTTCCTAGCTGGGACCTAGACTGCTGCAGAAAAACTACCTCTATCCTTTCAGGGATTTTATCTCCACTTCACCTTGTTGCTCCTTCCAAGTACTCTCCAGGGTTCTGGGAAGGAATAAAGTTCTTCCTCCTGTAAACAGAGTATTGAACAAAATGTAGCTTTGGTACTGTCCAAGTTGTAATCACCAAAATACTCATTTGTATGTACATTTTGAAACCAACTAGTGAGTTCAGATAGATAGATAGGTAGATAGGTAGGTAGGTAGGTAGGTAGATAGGTAGATAGATAGATTAAACTCAGATTTTTAAAAGCTAGTTTTAAATTTTTAAGAATATAAGAACAATCAGTTTACAAGTAATACAATTATTTTGACTTGTTCAAACATTTCAGAAGACTACATAGCCAATCCGATAAAACTTAAAACTTCATTTTCTCTGAATTATTCAAAGACTAATTGGGGTATGAGTAAAATCATTTAGGTTTCTAAGTAGTTTTTGCCAAGTTTTGCTAAAATTACCCATTTCTATTAAAAGTTTTCTCTGATTAAGATTGATATGGTTAATTCATACACATGTGTACACACTCACCATTGGCCTCAAATATTTTATATTTAACTTTAATATTTATACTAGTTTTCACTTTATCAAAAGCAGTTTATTTTGCTATATTTAAATATTAATGGATTTGCTTTTTTAAATTCTTATATAAGAATTTTAACTGTAAGGTAATTTCCATAATTATGAGAAATGAATCAGCTTATTTTAGATATTTGTCTTTATCTTTTAAGTAATTAAAAATTAAAAGAACACTAGACACACACAGTTTATAGCATTTATTGGTATCTCTGGTTAATTATTTTCATTTATGTTGTATCACATTAAAATTATTTACATTGATACATTTTTATTTTTTGTGTACTTTTGATTATAAAGTTCACATTGTAAAATTGACTATATTCCATTTCTGAAAAAAAATACCCTTTAAACTAAGATTTCCTTTATAGATATGTCATCTGTTGATTAGCAAATGAACTCCTCTTTCTGAATAATTTACACATTTTGAATATTACATACTTATGGATATAGAAGCTTAGTTCACTTGCAAAATAGTACTTTTTAAAAAAATATTTACATGTTTTGCCTTGCCAGTGCTTTTTTTTAAAAAAATATTTCCTTGGTGATCCTTGATATCAAGGGCCTATATTTTCTTCTTTAATATGTTAAGAATACCAATGAAAGGCAGTCACCTTTTGCTCTATTTAGCATATATATACAGAACAACAGCCAGCACTTTTAATAAGCAATATGCTTCACTAGAGCTGCTGCAGAAACTAGATATGCTGGCCTACTGTGGTTCTAGCCTCTGTAACTTAATTTCCTAATCTATTTACCACCTATCTTTTACAATAAATGGATATGTATAGTGAACCTGTTGTATGTGTCATTTAGAATACTCAGAAATCATGCTTGAGTGCCTCTAGAAAATTTGTTTACTGACAATAAGGTTATAGTAAATCATATGAAAAGAATTCTTTTTTGACCTGTAACATTTTTCTGTTGTTACAAAAATGAAAGGTGTGTAATCTTTTTAGACCTTTATAGTAGAAAGTTATATATAGCAGAGCTAATATTACATATATATATGCATATTCTTACGGATATGTGCTTCCTGGAGGACGAAGTCTTCTTGAACAGATCAGTAATTTTATTTTTTAAAATGCTGTGCTCTGTCTTGTAGTCTTAGTGACTATATTTTGTAAAGCCAACAATCACTATGGATTTAGTGACATAAGTTTAATTATATAAGCATTATGTAGGAACATTTGAACTTAAAACATTTCTGGACAATTCAGTTGTTGTAGATAAAACCAATATTGGGAAACACTTTTTGATGAATTGAGGGGGTTTGTTTTGAATTTTGGCTCTTGTGCTTCCAGGCAGGTACCTTACTGCTTAAGCTATATCCCCAGCACTTTTGCTTTTTAGGTATTTTTTGAATACAGCTTTACAGTTATGCCCAGGCTGACCTGGACCACAATCCTCCTATTTATGCTTCCTGCATACCAGGGATAACAGGTGCTCACTACTGTGCCCAGTTTTTTATTGATTTAGTTGGAGGGCTCATGAACTTTTTGCCATGGCCCAGAACCATGATCCCCAAATTTCTGCCCCTGTATATATAATGGATAGGATTATAGGTATGAGGCACTTGTGCCCAGTTTTAATGAAAATTCCAGAAGCTCAGGTTCTAAGCTTGATCACAAATCTTAAAATACATAAGCAAAGTGGAGAAATGGTTTAATTTCTTTTTGTGTCGGTATCATTATTTTTAGTGTTCAACTCTAAATTCCCACATTCGTCTTTGCAGCACTAGCACATTATCTGACTCAGTTGATACTCATTAATAAATTTTTACTTCCATAATTTGTATTTAACTAAAATTTAATGTTAAAATTGTTCTATATTATACATCTAATATGTGTCATGGAAATTTTGTTTTAGATAAAATTTACAGTAATGTGAAATATTTGCTAGTTTTGTGGAACTATTGGTCTCCTGATTAGGAAACAGGAATTGGAAACTAGCTCAGTAATTGAGATAATATGTGACCTTAAGATAATCATTTAAGTCTATTTCAGTTCTCCTTTTGTAAAAAAGTTGAACAAATAAAGAGTTTAATTTAGCTCATGTTGAAATTCAATAATATATACCTGAATTATATTTTCCTAAAATTTCTTGCACATTCTGAATTTAAAGATTATTTTGCAAAAAATACAGAATAATATAAAACTTTAAAATGTGAACTACGAGCTGATAAAATTCTGCTTTACTAACTACCATGGTAGTATGCCTTCCAGATTAAACACACACACACACAACTATAGGGTAGAAAAATTCAAAGGGCTGTAAAAATCATTCCCTTTTGTTACATATAAATTCTTTGGCAATATCTAGTGAGTTTCTTTCCTTCTGGGAAAGGAGAATGACTGACTGAGTTTTTTCTATTTGCAAAATTTTTCCCAGTCGGCAATATTATTATTTTATTATTTAGTGGTAATTTGAGATAAATAAATTAGCAGCCTACAAAAATGAATAAAACCTGAATATGAAACTTCATACAAAGCAGCCTGCTTTTCATGTATTGTAATATATCAGGCTTGGTAGCATATTTTGTTATATAACAATTATAAATTATATTTATGTCCAGCTAATGAGATTATTTGAATTCTCTGAAGAGGTGTTTGCCTCCAGAATTGCAGTCAATCTAGGGATAATTAATATGTGTCTACACGTGCTGGAACATTTGAAGGAAATGGTACTGTGTGAGGTCATGGCTGAACTGATGTTCAGCTAGCTATTCAGAATGTTTCTGAGAGTTTCCAAAGCCAGGTTTCTCTGCCCTCTGAATTAATGTAGAACTTCTAAGTAGTTCTGTATATTGTGTTTGCAGTATATCAAAGAAATTTTGGCAAATTATATGTTTTCTCTGCTTCACTTCTTAGCTCCAGTGGCTATTGGACAATTATGAGACAGCAGAAGGAGTGAGCCTTCCCAGAAGCACTCTGTACAACCACTACCTTCGACACTGTCAGGAACACAAACTGGACCCAGTCAATGCTGCCTCTTTTGGAAAACTAATAAGGTCAATTTTTATGGGGCTACGAACCAGGAGATTAGGCACTAGGTTAGTACTGAAATTTAAGATTATAAACTGTTTTTTCCTTTTCAAATTAAAGAAGTTTGGCATATTATTTGAGCAGGAGTACTTGATGACAGAATGATAACTTAAAAATATTGAATGAGCTTGTTTATTAACTCCATAGGAAAAGGAAAGTCATTGTTCAATGAATACTACCAAGCCAGAATGATGTGCTCTCGCTGGCAGTAACTGTGTGTCTTTGACAAGAGTGGGTTGTCAGACTACACAGAGATTAGCAGACAACTACTTAATGCAAGATTTGCATATGATATTTTAAAAATTATGTATCACTGTACTGGTTTTGAAAACAGCCATACTAAAGATAATAAACTTACACAGTAAATGAGAAGCTATTTATCTTCTGATTTTTAAAAAGCAAATTACAGTTGCTTTTATAAATAACTTTATTTGAATTGAATAAGAAATTAAAACTGAGATTTTCATTTCATTTCATAAAGCTGAGACCAATTAAAAGTCATTTTTGGCAAGCCTGCAAAATATAAGTATTTGAAGTCCTTGGTGATAAAATAGTCTTATTTTACCTCTCATTGAACTTTTATTTATTTATGTTCTTGCTTGCAAAACCATACATATGTGAGAGTAAATAAGGCATAGCTTCATTTCATAGAGAACAATGACGTGAAGGAACTTCAAGTTTCACTGTTTCCCTTCCTTTGGAAATAAATGAGTGTTTTTACTTACCAAATATGAAAAGAAAACAGTGGAGCTTCATTTTCATCTTTTCATAATTTTTATGAACTGAAAACAGTATTTCAAGCAGTTTGCAGTAAGATATGGATGTTTTAGGCTTTTAAATCTTAAAAGAATCATGTGCAAAGTATTGAAATAGAGAGAATGCCCTGCACATTAAGTGACATACCTTTAATTGGTTATAAATAACAATGTTAAAGTATTACAGTAAAAATTTTTAATCTTAGCAAATTAAACAAAATGTAACTTCATTATATATTTACACTGAAAAGAGGAGTGAGTCAATGTTGTCAGGAAGAAAAGATTGATCTTTTCCTAAGCTGTCTCAAGGTTAAAGGCTATGATCCCTGTAACAGAAGCAAAAAGCATACCCATTTATTTAGTGTAAGTTTTGCATTACATGGAGCCTTCAGAAATAAGAACCCACGGAAGTAGAGAAAACTATGCATTTTATGCTATGACTGATGAAGAAGTGGACACTTCTAGAGAAACATGACTGGATAAAAAGGGATGTGATCTAAAATTTATAAATGGGGTGACTCAGTAAGATTCTTTATTCAGATTCTCTGTATCTTCAGAGATATGGACATTCCTTTCTTCTAGGTATAGAGAGGACCTTTCTAAAATGAGGGACTGATGACCCATTTCAGGGGAAGGTCAGCAAGTTTATGGCCCACTTTAGGCAGGAAACAGATGAGGGAAATTTTCTGTTTTCTATGGCCTGTTTTTGCTGTTTTCTGAAATTCCAAGGTGCCATCTTTTGGGATAGTTTGTCCTAAGCCCCATTACTCTGTTACTTTCATGAGATTTACAAGTTCTGTATGTATTTGAATTATGAATTATTTCTTTCTTTTTCATTTAAGTAAATGTATAGCTTTCGGATATCTGTGGGGGTCAATTATCTCATAAATACATTTTCTTCTCTCTGTACTTTAGAAGATAGTATGCTTTAAATTTCAAAATATGATTGTTTTTTCAGACTAAAGGATCTAGCTTTCATTCCCCTGAAAAGAAAGTTTTTTGTTTCTTTACTATTTTTTTCCCCAAACCAGGAAAATCATTATTTGGGGACCTAACCTACTATCTCCTAGCTGATGGCTTAGTGGTTACACATATAGTGCCAATATTTTGCAACTCTGGGCTTTATTCAACATTCTAATAGCTGTATTGTTGTGCTGCTTTTGTTACTGAAAAGGATTTCAATGGATCCTCTTTTGAGGCTCCATTCAAACCTTGAAACACATCTTTTAAATAGAAAGGAACAAACTTGGGGTTGTTTGGGTTTGTGAATGAGTAGAATCCATATTCTCTAAGTACTTTTTTCAATATTGCATAGCTTTTACTTTCTGATTCCCCCAATGTCTGTGTCTCTTTTAAAATTATACACAGTGTTTGCAATTGAGTTGGAAAACAAAGCTTAAAGAATTAGGAGAAAATAAATGCTATGCTTAAGTTCAAACAAATGAAGTATTAGAAAGAAGAACTCTAATAGAGAAAAACTGATAATGGTAGGAATGAAGTCAGAGATGTTTCCTGCCATGTAAACTGGTACCTAGTTTCAGCTCCTAATCCAAGAAAGAAAAAAAATTTGGAAAAATAATGAGGCAAACTAAATTGAATTTTTAAAGTGAATTGTAATGTGGAAGTATTATCCATCAGTAAAATTACCTGGTGAAATTACTGAAACCAAAGTAAATGAAACAAAGGCGAATTAAAAGGTACGGTTTCTTTGATTCCATTTTCAAACTTAGTTTAAGCAAAGGTAACCATGAATATGCTTCTCTCCCCAAACCATTCCCAATGGAATAAAAATATTCCCCACCCAACCAAAATGCTAATTTGTAGGAAACCTAAAAGAAATCAGTCTATTTATTTGGAGTCTTACATGAGAATCCTCATTCTTTTTACTTTGTGCTTTTTTCCTATGATTAAATCTGCTTGCTTGCTACTGCTACCTCTACTCTTACTGTCCTCCAGTGTGTATGAGAGAACACTTATTTGTGTTCATGGTCTTTTTGTTTTTGCTATATTCTTCAGTGGATTTTGAAGACAAGATCTAGTATCTCCAAGTGGAAGGCCTTTCTTTAATGTTTTCATTTATGTTTTATTTTGCTGAAAGCAAAATAGGTATTCAAATGCTCTATAGTTAAAACTAGCACTATTATTTTAAAAATATTCAATGTCTCTTCATATATAGGGGTTCATATGTTTGTTAATCTTGAAACTAAAATTATGCTGTATTCTTATAAAAAATATTTAATCCACACTAAGCTTACATTTCTTTTTGTAAATGAAAGAAAAAATTGGAAAGAACACTGATGTCTTGCTATATTTAGACTTGCGAAAAACCATTTTCTCTTTGCAAAAATTTACATATTTAAAATGGTATTTTTATAAGAATTTGCAAGTCCCATTCAGGGCAAAACTTGTCTAGCATACATGGTTTTTCTCATGAACTAGGGAAATTGTGATATTTTTTATTCCAGGTAGAAACTTGACATTTCCACAGAGAAATTTCACCAAGTCTGTTGTGACATACCTTATTCATCCTACAAAACAGATATGTTGATAAAAACAGAGACTAATAAAATGTGTTTCAAAATCAATTAATGTGTTATTCCTTTTTAGGTTTCAAAATATTAAATAATAGACTTCACTACAGAATCTTTTAGCAGTAAAGTTATCTTATTTCATCATTCCTAGATTAAAGACAAAAATGTATAAACCTTGTCCAGAACAACATAATTAAGATTTTTTGTGTATGTTCTGAATAGCCACATTACAACAAATTCATGTTTATTGTGCAACCCTGTGTGCTGTTAAGGAGTTTTAATTGGCCAAAACCTTTTTCCCACCATTACTCCTTCTAAATTAAGTTTAAAATGTAAATTTAAAAATAAAATTAATTTGATTTGAACAAATAGATAGTTTGGCTAATGTTTAAATGAAAGTTTACAAGGAAATATTTATGTTAGGACCTTTAGCTAATTTAGAATCTTATTTTGATTATTCAGATGTTGCCACTATAAGGGTATCGCAGAAAAGTTAAATCATAAACATATAACATTAATATGCTGCTTTTACTTAACTTTTTCAGTGTGAAGTTAAATGGGTATCCCATGTGGTTAATACTGGTTTGACTAACTTTTCATGTTTCCAATGTTTATTGCTCTTTTATGAAGAGGAAACTCCAAATACCACTACTATGGGATTCGCGTGAAGCCAGATTCCCCTCTTAATCGTCTACAGAAGATATGCAGTATATGGCTATGAGACAGCAACCCATGCAACAGAAACAAAGGTAGACTCTAAAGTTATTGCTGATACATCAAAGCTATGTATATCTTAATTGCTTATGTCTCCATTTTCTGAACAAATAGGCCAAATACATAAGTACACAAGGACGTTGCTACTCCTGTCATGCTTTCACTCACAATGGATAATTCTTAAATATGGTTTAGACTTTCATTTATACTAGTTTCCAAATTAAAAAAAAAATTACTCATCCTTTTATCAATTTGGCCCCTTTTAAGGTGTCATCCCATAAGGATAAGAAGCATAGAGAAACGCAGGGAAATGAAACACAAAACATAAGGAGCATTCCCAAGCAAATATCAACAGGAGAAATTTGTTTCAGCATTCAGGACTTTCTATCTGCACATCATTCAACTCATTCTTTTTTGACCAAGTATGGAATCCTGCAGAATTCTTGGGACTTCTTACATTTTCTTTGAATCCAGTTTTCACAAACATGGAATTAAATAGCTGTAAGAGATAGCATACATTCCCAGATGGATGAATAGATGAATGGATGGATAGATGGATGAATAATAGTATTATATATCTTATTTCTAAAAAATATCTCTGTCTTGTCTGACCTTGTAACCCTATGAGAATCGAAGCATTAGCAACCTTTTTCAGATGTATCACAGGAAGGTTAAGTGGTTTGCAAAAGCCCATAAATAACTGTTGCATAGCCAAAGACCTTCTATCCCATGTGACTTTTGTCTCAATTTAAAGTTATCTACCCTCTTTGCCAGCATAATTCAACAATGCCCTGTAGTTATGGTGTTTCTTTTCAGGTGAACATGTAAAATTAGATAGGAGAAATGAGGCATCTGCTTAAGTCCTAACCCATTGATCTGGAATGATTAGTTGCATTGTCCAGAACTCTACATCCATACCTGTTTAGTCTGAAGCTCTAAGACACTGCTGGAGAAAAAATATAAGACATGGTAGTTCTTCATCTGTTTAGTCAGCAAACACTGATTGAATCTCTAGTGTGTTCTAGATCTTTCATGCAGATAATACATAGTTCCTACCTTTGAGGACTTAAAACATTAAAGTAGAAGCTTGTGAGGTTGGAAAAAAAAAGGAATATAATGCAATCTGAGATACGCTTTAAAAAAAACAGGTTTAACAAGGAACTTTAGAATACAGAGTAATTTCCAGGAAACTCTGAGAGATGGAAGTTTGGAAAATTGCATAGATTGCTGAATTTGAGTAGGGGCTAATAGGAGTCTGGAAAAGAAATATTCAGGCAGAAGGACAGTGTAAACATAAGAACCTGTGAATAAAGTGCAAGATGTCTTTGGTAAATGGTCCATGATTTGGTGAGGTTGGTATTACAGAAGGAAAATTGAAAAGACAGTTGAATAGTTCAGTTGTAGATGCTATTTAAGGAGTAATTGGGATCATATATTAAGGGATTTCGTTGTATATCAAGCTAATAAGTTTATTCTTTGTGCAGAACATAGCTTTGAAGCTATTTAAGGCTTTGAAGCAAAACAATGAAACTTTGATTTTTTCTAGAGAGATGACTTTTTGATTTGGGTCAAGACATATTTAATGGGAAGAGACTGGAGGTAAGGACATAATTAACACACATAATTTTCAGTGTATGTGTTCTACCCTGAAGACTCAGTTTGAGATTGATTATTATATAAAGGTATCTCAAGGATTTTAGATTTTTAACTACTGATTCTCAATGCTTTTTTTAAATTGTTGAGTCTTATTTTTTTATATATAGCCAATGAAACATATTAAGAAGGGCTCTGAAAAAATAAAATAAGTCATAGGCTAGTAACTTATGGTTGGAGATAGTTTGTATGAATTGTAATAAACTGTTACTATCTTGGGTTATGATTATTTTTCCATTTATTAGGAGCAAAATTTACAGCTTTTACCTTCTGGTACAATCTCAGCCCTCATACATAACTACACTACACATATAATGTGCACAAATAATGATGAAATCAAGAAAAAGAAAAAGATTGATTCAGAAATAACTTAATGAACCTTAAATATGAACAAAAAGTTAATAAATTGTACCTAAGATAGCTGAAACCACTTCTTCCTGTGACTTAACTATAAGGAAATCTAGTAAGCTTTCGTGGAAATGGAAGTTTTCAAGGGACTTTATTTATAAAAAGCCTGAGTTAGTTAGCGAGAGATGAGGTTTTCTGTGGATTCCTATGAAACAGATTCCAGAGTTGTAAATGTTAGGGAGCCATGAAAATCCCTGTAAACTCCATGTAGTGATCATTGCTGTTAGAAATAGGTACAACATGGGTGCATTTACGAAGAGATGTAAAATTATCAATAATAATATATCCTGCCAACTTTTAGTTTCTTGTAGAGTTTGCTTTCTTATGAAGTAAGAATGTCAAAGAACCAAATAAGTACTGGATCTTATTTTTTTTTTTTATGATGCAAGTTCTGTATTGTGGACAGGTGCTCTTGAAATGGCTTCTTGTTATAATCATTGCAGTGTTAGTGTCAATTGCACTAACACTGTTAGTGCATTTGTGTATTGTGTTAGAAGAGAAGGGAACTTTGGTTGTATTTCTGAAGGAAGCTATCCACTGACACATGGATAGGCCATAACTGAACCCAATTACCCCATTGTGTAAAAGTACTTAGATAGGAGAGAACAAGTTTCTCTTCATAAGTACAGATTTAAGGGTGAAATTAAGAGTACTTTTTGAAAATGATGGAAAAGTAACTTACTAAATCATTTATCTGATGTCTTAAAAATTATAAAGTAATTCTGAAATTTACATAATTCTACTGAAGTTACTAAAATTATTGAAATATAAGAGACCTATACTCTCTTTTTTTAAAATGCAAGTATTATGTGAGGGTTTTAAAATATTTTATAACTGGTTTTAGTGTTTAACATTTCAGAATATTCAGATTTTTTTAAATACCTGAAGAATCAGGGAATGTATCTGTGTTTCCATTATCTTCTGTAATTGCAAATTACGTGGTTCATGTATTCAAACAATGAAAAAATTTCATGTATGTGCATTGGTCATGTTCTCAGTTGAATTTAAGTTTTGGTGCTCAATTTGTAAATGTTTTCTAATTAATTTGGAATTATAATAGTTGCAGGGGAAATAGTGATTATTATTTTCTGTAGCTTTACAATATCTTTCGCTCCTTTATATAAGTAATCTCATTTACCAGTTTGTTAGAGTAGTATGGGAAATATCCACTTACCTGCAAATCAGAATCCCAGAAACATCACAGTGTGGAACATGGCCATGAAGTATGGAAATAAATGAAAAAAGCTTCTGATTGAAAAGCAGATGTCACAAAGCCCATAGTTTCACATACTTGAAAAGATGAATCCATCTTCAAGCCATTTAACTAAAATAAAGGAGCATATTAGAGCTCAATGCACAGACAATCATGGAATATGATAACAGTCTGTGGACATTCACTGTTGGGACAGATGTGTATGTTTTCAAATGTCTCCTATTGAAAATATATAAAAATAATTTTTGCATTTAAATTAGATAATCTTCATTTTTTTAAAGGACATTCAATCATGGACTTATTTGCTTACTCTAATTTTGGCAATACATAAGTTAGGTTATCAAAGAGAAAAAGGATGTAAGTCATTTTCAGCTGTACAAACTCAGTAAAAATGTTTGATACAGTTTATTTTTAATACTAAAAAGAAGTACAGAGAATGTTGGCACGTATATTTTATTCTTCCAAATCTGGTAGTGAAAGTGGTGAAATGAAACCAAGAGATATTGACAAGGTGCTTTACTCTGTGTGATCCCAGTAGCCATTCTCAAAATATTAAAATGCATTTATCATTTCTTTATCAAATACATATAACTTCCAGTTGTATACAGAATATGAGCATCACATGTAAAAGGTTCATAGAATGTTAGAACCAGAAGAAGAGAGCACCTAGTCCAACCCATCCTCTTGAGAAGAAAATGGAAGCCCATGAAGATAATACAATCATGTAGCAACCTGGAAAGAACCCAGTCCTTTTGTCTTTATTCTCATAAGATAACCCAAACAGAACTATACACTTGTAGTAAAAGCTTGCCTTTGTAATAAAGGAAGAAATTACATTTTTATTGTTGTTGTTGTGGTACTGGGGCTTGAACTCAAGGACTACACCTGAACCCACTCCATCAGTCCTTTTTAGTGATGTGTTTTTTTGAGATAGGGTCTCATGAACTATTTGCTCAGGCTGTCTTTGAACCGCAGTCCTTCTGATCTCTGCCTTCTGAGTAACTAGGATTATAAATATGAACCACAGGCGCCTGGCAGAAGTTGCATTTTTATTAACTATGTTTTAACTAATTAAGGAATGTATCACTTACTATCTATGGTCTCTTGACAAGAGTTGTAGTCCAGGAAACAGTGAAAGTTTATGGCACTGAGTGGGGAAGAGAAGAGGTCTGGTAGAAAGATGGTATATCAAGACTACTTTTTTTTTATGTTGACATATGCATGTTCCTAAGAAGTGAAGGATAACTTCTTAGAACCTTTGTTACTAGAAGAACTTTCTTAATGTAGGGTTCATAGACTAGTTGAAAGAACGTTGTATTTAGAATTAGAAGACAGAGATTTAAGTACAGGCTATTTTGATACTTTTGTATGATGTATGATCTAATTTCACTAAGATTAATTTCTTCATCTGCAAAAATGGATATTGTATAGACTACTTCAGACTGTTTTGAAGTTCAAATGAAAAAGAAGAAAACTGTAAACACACTCAAGTGTTAGATTATTATTATTATTATGATACTGTAAGTACTGCAGAAACATCTTTAGGAATATTATGGTATTTTAGAAGAGAATGCAGCCTGGAAATTAGGCAGGTGTGGCTCCTGTTTCTCTATACTTCTTGGCTAATGGTTTCCAACTTTGATTAGTGTTAATAGTTTATCATTACCTTTCTAGACCACTAACTCTTTGCAGTCATTATAGAGCTAAGCATCTAGTACTGGTTAATTGCTCTGAGGCAACTCAGGGTGGCAAGAGTCTTTA